CTGGCGCATGCGTTGATCAAGGCAGTCCAGGTGACGACGTCAGGCTTCATGTCTGCTGAGAGGCTGTTTTGGTACAAAATGGCGGCGCGCACGGGGGGACAAGAGAAGGGGCGGGCCTTCTCAGAAGGCTCGAAAGTCCTCCCCGGCCTTCTGAGATGTTTTCTAGGGCTTCCGCAAAGACGCAGAAAGCCTCTCAGAAGCTTCTGAGAAGTCCTGCCGCCTGCTGAGAAGGCATTCTCCCTCTCACTTCACTTCCCCCCCTCGCTCGCCGCTGAACAAATTCGCGTGCAAAATTCCTTCGCGTACTCCTTTACGTACGCACCACCTGCCTTTAGGCCTTCTCCCGCGCTTAGGGCCAAAGGAGGGCTCCACGCCTTCAGCGGTCTCCCTCGCACTTGCCTCAACAACACGAGCTCATCAACTCTCCAGCGGCATCACGGGCTGAAGGTCAAAAGAGGGCTCAACGCCTTCATCGGTCGACCTCGCAATTGCCTCAAAGCACGAGCTCGTCGACTCTCCAGCGGCATCACGGGCATAGAATTCGACACGTCGTGCCAGGGATGAGCCGATACTCCTGTCAACTTGCGTGCTTCTTTTCGGGAGCCTGCGTGCCTCAGGAGGGCGCGGCCCGATGCTTCTACTCAAGAACATCGCCAGGGAAAGGAGGAAGAACGCTGAAGCAGAAGACACAGGCGCCACTGCCCATCGAAGCGCGCTGGCGGACACAGCGATCCCTCCGCAATCCAGATGCTGTGCACGGTGCCAAGGGTGGGAATAGTACTGCTAGCCACTGTGGAACCCAAACAGTGACGTGTTGTAATATGTGCGGTGCAATGTAGGTGGTGCAACCATGTGGTGTAATCTAGAGGAGGCAATACATGTGGTGCAGTCTATGTGATGCAGAGCCATGCGTGGTAATGTACAACAATACCTAGCAATGAAATGCAATGCGAAACAATGCAACACATTGCAAGCAAATGCAAGCCATGCAATGCAAAGCAATGATAATCAACGCAGATTAATGCAAACCAATGGAAGGTAATGAACATCAAAGCCCAGCGCAAAGCAATGCAAAGGAATGCACGCAAATTCGAATAAAGCCAAGCTAAAGCAACGAAGACCAAAGCAATGCACAACAATGCGAAACGATGCAATGCGAAGCAATGAGAAGCAATGAAACGTAACACGCAGCAATGCAAATCAATGAGATTGCAAAGCGATTGCAGTGCGATTGTGATGCGCTTGCCATGCAAAGCAAACGCAATGCAAAGCAATGCATAGCAATGCAACGCAATGAAAATGATTGCAGCGCAGAGCGCAACAACTCACAGCAGCTCAAAGCAGCGCAGAGCAGCGCAACGCAAAACAAAGCGAAGCAGAACAGTACGAGGAGCAGCACAGCAACGCACTGTGACTGCAATGCGCGGCGGCGACAGGATGCAACGCAAAGCAAAGCAGCGCGAAGCAGCGCGGTGCAGTGCCATGCGAATGCCATGCGCGGCGGTGGCGGGTGGCCGCGGCCCACTTGCGAGCGGCGACGGCGGCGGCGACGGGTGGCCACAAGACGGCCGGACCGCCACTGGAGCTCAGTTGCCGGCGGCGGCGGCAGCGGCGACGGGCGGCCACGGGAAGGCCAGAGCGCCACTGGAGCCCAGTTGCCTGTCGCACGCAGGCAGCCACCCCTACAGTCGGGGCGCTGACCTAAGGAACCCTAAATAAGGAACGAGGCCCCTTTCTGCCATACGTTAACCTTCGATTTCCTCTCGGAGACATAAGGAAAGCCTGAGGCAAGCTGTGGAACACTTAAGGAACGCGGAGCCCCTCCCCAACGAAAAGGGTTCCATCTTCAGGGCCCCGACAGTATGCAAGCACTGTTCAGGGAAGGCTGCGGAGACAGATCCGCCACTCCCGTCCAGTCGCGGGCCCGTGGAGCTCTCGGCTCTGCCCCCGAGGGCGGAGGAAGAGGAGGTCGGGGGTGCCTCTGGGGAGCCCAGAGACTCACAGAAGAGCGGCACGAGGCTAGCCAGGAACTTCTATCCTGGAGCAGGAGGAGGGGTGCGACAAAGAGGGGCGCGACGGCGTGTGCGCGCCCGCGTGAGCGCAGCAGCAGGCGGGACGAGAAGGGTGAAGGACGTTCAGACGAAGGCAGGATGACAATGACTCCGGATGAGGGTACAGCGGGAATCTCAGAGAGCGGGCGAGTCTGGAAGATGTGTCGGGCGCCACGGCCGTCCCCGAGCGTTCCGGGACGAACCGAGATCGCTCCGGAATGCTCTGGAGCGCCTTGTCCTCATCCTAGGCTCGCCCCATACTGTGGAAGAGGAGGAGGCCACTGGAGGGCTACGGAGGCCGAACAAGAATCAACCACAAACTGTCCAAGAGCTGTTTCTGGACAAGATCCAGAGGACAAGGGGGAGGAGGAGGAGGAGGAGGAGGAGGAGGAGGAGGAGGAGGAGGAGGAGGAGGAGCCCCCTGAGGAGGAGAAGGAAGAGGAGGAAGATGAGGAGGAGGAGGAGGAGGAGGAGGGAGGATGAGGAGGAGGAGGAGGAAGAGGAGGAGGAGGAGGAGAAGAAGGAGGAGGTGGAGAATAATAAAACACATAATAAGAAGAAGCACGTGGCAGATCCGACTATCGTGGGGCTTGAGTGGGATCGAGGAGGGAGCGGAGGGAGGACTCTGACGGAGTACGCAGCCTTTGAGGGTGCACGTCGTTCATTTCTAATCGTGCTCACTTCTAATTGTGCTCGTTTCTAATTGTTCCTGGCCCCCTAGTGGCCAGGAAGAGGCCCAGGATAGGAGAATTAGGAACGAAAGGATCTCGGCCCTCCAACAAAAACCAAAGAGCTTATGAATAATTAGGAGTGAGCAGTGTGTGCACATCTCTGTGGGTGAACGAGACCTCTTGCACTCCGACGCTCGCGAGGGCGCCACGCAGCCCCGGTCCCGGGGTCGCTCGCGGACGCGTCGCCGACGGAAGCCCCCCCCCCAAAACGAGCTCTCGTGGGAGGAGCACGGACGAGGAGATCCCCATGGCGCACCCTGATCCCTGCAATTCCCAACCACCCTGTGCTGTCGGGCCCTATGTTTGATGCCCCAGCGCCCCGCGTCCACATTCCCCACCCTTCCCCCCTCCTCCCTCGCCCCTCCTCCCTCGCCCCTCCTCCCTCCTCCCTCCTCCCTCCTCCCTCCTCCCTCCTCCCTCGCCCCTCCTCCCTCCTCCCTCCTCCCTCTTCCCTCCTCCCTCCTCCCTCCTCCCTCGCCCCTCCTCCCGCCACCTTCCCACCCCTCCCGTCTGAAAAGCGCACGCTTCCTGGCTGGCCCCACAAGGGAGCTCCTCCGAGGGCCCCAGTTGCAGGGCCCGCACGGGCGGCGCCGCACCGATCTCGGCACACCGAAGGCCCCAGTGGCAGCAAACGCACCGAGGGCTCGGGAGGCCCCCGGTGCATCGGCGGCGAGCCTGGGAGGGAAGCGAAAATGGGCGGACCTTCTCAGAGGGCTCGGAAGGCCCCCGGCCTTTTTGAGAAATGTTCGAAGCCTTTCCCGAAGACGCAGACAGCTCCTCAGAAGGCCGGAGGGTTTCTGAGAAGCTCCGAGGCTTTCTGAAAAGGCCTCCTCCTTTTCACTTCTCCCTCGTTCGCCGCCGAAGACACACACAAACACAAACAAACACACTCACACACAAGCACACACACAAACACACACACACACACGCACCTGTCAGTTTCCACAGGGCTACGCCCGCTTTGTACTCGCCGTTTGGGCTGGCGGCTTCAGCAGTCTGCTGTTTTTTTTACGTTCGACACCGAGGTTGTTCAATCTGCAATCACGTTATGTGCTACGCCCTTGTTCAAGCATGGGTGCCTCTGGATGCCCCCGCATACCTTGCAGAGGTCTCTGACGAGGGCCCCCCACATCCATTACGCTACCGAGGAACCCCACATACTTCGTTCGAATTCTAGCCTTAGCATAGCTGACGTGCAACATACGTGGATGATGCTACGTGGTCAAGATAAGTGCCGCGCCTGCTGTGCCGTGGACGGCCCTGTGGCGTCGAGGAACTGCAACGCCTGCCATGCCCTGCGAGCCTGCAGCGCATAACGCCCCCACCCCCATCGCACCCCCTGTGCCGTCGAGGAAATGCCACGCCCAGCGAGCCTGCAACGCATTCTCGAGCGCGAAAGATACCCGTACCCTTACCTAGACAGGGTGGCAAGGGTCCGGGGGGGCGGTTTATCGCAGCTGACGGCGGCTGCACAAGTGTAGGAGCGACGGCCGATCGAGCATTGCAGACCGCTGTCTTCTCGAGGCGCACGTTAGCACCGATCGCGCGTGCGCTCGAATCGGCGGAGTGGCCGACCCCGCGTTGGTTGCTGCAGATGTAGACCAGCTGCATAGGAGGCGCGCCCCCCGAGACACAGATCCTGGCGTTGAGGAATCAACGCGTACTCGGGGGTGCATGCGAACAACTCTGGCGCGAACGTCACAGCGCGACAACCGCCCAATCGCGAATTGATCGATGCAGAGACATCGCGGTCTGAGCGCTGGGCGAGGTCGCCAGAGGCCGCCCCCCTTGGACGGCCGTCCGCGGATCACCCCATCTAGGTACGGTTGCCCCCAGAAAACCCAAAAACATACCCGTACCTAGCAGGGGTGTCGCAGCTCCACCCCAGCTAGGTCCGGGTATGTTTCGGTGGTTTCAGGCAGGTCCCCGTACCTAGCCGAGGTGGCGGCAGGCCCAAAACGCTCTCGAGCACATCACATGCCCTACAGAACCGTCCCCAACGTGGCCGCTGCGGCCCCCTGGGGGCGCGACATTGCAACGTCGTTCCTCAGGGCATGCCCAGACGCATTGGTTGCCAGGATGATGGCGAGGAAGCGCATCTTGTTATCAATTGGGACAGGCGCCACCACATATGGGCGGCTTTGAGCCGCGCGCGCACCACGATGCCCCCAGACGTCCCTAACAAAAACCAGCGCTTGTCGCTGCAATCAGGCAACCAACCATCGAGCGCGCCGTTGCGTCTTGACACGCGGATGCTGCACTGGCGCGCGCGGGGCAAGCTGACGGGGCACAATAGCAAACGCCCAGTCCCCCGGACGGCCCATCTCACCTCGGCTGACCCCGGGCACGGGTATCTTTCGGACCAATGACGCATAGCGCCCCCACCCCCAGCACGCCCCCAGTGGCGTCGAGAATGCCCACCCTCCCACACTTTGCAAGCGTACGACGGGTAAGGACCCCCAGCAAACCCCCTGTGACGTCAAAACGATGCCACCCATGCCACACTTTGCGAGCGTACAACGGGTAAGGGCCCCACCCCCAGCAACACCCCTGTGGCGTCAAAACGATGCCACCCATGTTACACCTTGCGAGCGTACGACGGAAAAAGGGCCCCGCCCCCAGCACACCCCCTGTGGCGTCAAAACAGTGCCACCCTTGCCACACTTTGCGAGCGTACGACGGATAAGGACCCCACCTCCTGCACACCCCCTGTGGCGTCGAGAAAACGCCACTCCTGCCCCACTCTGCGAGTTTACGACGGATAAGGACCCCACCTCCAGCACCCCCCCTGCGGCGTCGAGCAAATACAACACCTGCACGCTCTGCGAGCTTACGACGGATGAGGACCTCACCCCCAACACCCCCTCTGTGGCGTCGGAAAAGCCTCCCTTGCCACACTTTGCGAGCGTACGTTGGATAAGGACCCCACCCCAAACAAACCCCCCGCTGGCGTCGAGAAAATACCACCCCTGCCACACTTTGCGAGCGTACGACGGAAAAGGACCCCACCCCCAGCACACACCCCGTGGCATCCAGAACATGCCACCCCTGCCACACTTTGCGAGCGTACAACGGACAACGACCCCACCTCCAGCACACCCCCTGCGGCGTCGAGAAAATACGACACCTGCCACGCTCTGCGAGCTTACGACGGATAAGAACCCCACCCCCAGCAAACCCCCTGTGGCGTCGGAAAAGCCATTCCTGCCACACTTCGCGCGAGCGTACGACGGATAAGGACCCCACCCCCAGCACCCCCCCCGCTGGCGTCGAGAAAATGCCACCCCTGCCACACTTTGCGAGCGTACGACGGATAAGGACTCCACCCCCAGCACACACCCCGTGGCATTCAGTAGTCCCATTCCTGCCACACTTTGCTAGCGTACGACGGATAAGAACCCCACCCCCAGCACACCCCCTGTGGCGTCGAGAGAATGTCACCCCTGCCACACTTTGCGTGATGTATGATGCGTGCGCGCGATGTGTATGATGCGTATGCGGTTGTATCTGGACGTGTGTCTCATGTTTGATGCGTGTGCGGCTGTATCTGGACGTGTGCCTCATGTGGGTGCCCAGTATGTGGCGCACCCGTCGTGGGTGTATGATGCAGTGAACACGCCAGGCGTGCACTGTCGTTGCTATTGTGTGCGTGCGTGTCTGCAAGTGTGTGAATGCGTGCGGCTGTGTGCAGACGCATGTCTCGTGTGCTTGCATGCCGTGCATGTGTTGCGCGTGGGCGAGGGGAGGAAGGAAGAGGAGGGGAGGAGGGAGGAGGGAGGGAGGTGTGCAGATGTGTGTGTGTATGTGTTGCGGGAGACGCGGGTGCGACTCGGCAGGGAAGAAAACCATAACCCCACGAAACATGTGGGGAAAACACTTCGACCCTCACCTTCCACACTCGGGGGCGCGCAAACATGGATCGGGGGAGGTGCCCTCCCCAAAATGCGGCCGGCGCCGCCTCGCTCGGCGGCGGAAGTCCGCGAGTTCCAAGGGAAACAGGATAAACAGGACCGTCCCTAATCCACGCCCCCTCGATCCATGTTTGCGTTGGGTCGGGGATGTCCTCCTACCGGCGGATCTTGGAAGACAAATGACACATGGTAGAACAAATGCCCCCAAATAATCGAAACATGCTAGAAAAATAATGCCCCCAAATAGTGCCCCCAAATACATGAACATAACATGGTAGAAACATGCCCCCAAATAATCGACAAATAATAGAAAACTCGTCCCCATCGCATTTCCTTTACAGTCTTTTCATTTTGCGATCGCCTGACACGCCCTCCTTCTCCAACCCCCTTCCCGTGCTCTCCTCCTCTATCCCCCCCGGTCCCTGCGTGGCCTCAGGACGAGGTTGAGGATGAGCTCGAGGAAGAGGAGGAGGAGGAGAAGGAGGAGGAGGAGGAGGAGATCGAGGACGAGGAGGAGGAGGAGGAGGAGGAGAAGGATGAGGAGGAGGAGATCGACAGAGGAAGGTGATTGGGGACCGGGAGGGGGAGGGACATGGGGGGGGCAAGGGGCGTGCGAGCGAGGCGACGAAGGCCGAAGGGGGCCCGGGGGGGGGGGATGAGGCGGGGGGCACGGCAGGGGGAGGCGCAGGAGTCGGAGGGGGGAAGGGGGGGAGCTGTTTTTTTTGTTACTTTGTTGTTCCTTTTTATTGTTTTTATATATTTTTTTGGAGGGGGGGGAGCTGTTTCTTGTTTCGGGCGTGGGTTGGG